CCACATGCGCCCAGATTGCTTTAAACCGTACAAAGATCTTTGTAATCTATTGAATAAATTTCCTGAGATTTTGAATTTGTTTCAGGCATGTTAAATCTTTCAGGGATTTTCATATAAATTTCATTATCAAGTGAACCGTACAGATAAGCTGTAACTACATCCATTAGATGTATTTCAAGCTTTTCATCCAGTTCTAAACTGATGAGATATCGAAATGTTATGGCATCCATAACAGGTGAATGTGTTTCATCAAAATCGACTCTAGGTCGTTGTGAGAATCCTTGTGCAACAAGGCGAGCTTTATATCTTTCAACTTCATTTTTATCANGATCGATTTAAATTAATCCCATCACCGATTGAATTTATTAAAAGTTCTTCACTCACATGAATTTCGGGTTCATTGATTTCTTTAGGAATCTCAGAACTAATCAGACATTGGGTCTCTTCAGGAGATCCCTTCATAGTATCGTTTTGATCATTTGTCGGTTTTCTTTTTCGAGGATTTCGATCCTTAGAACCCAAAGGCCTACCACGCTTCAGGCGTGCTTTAGGTTCACTAGCTCTCATGCTAGTAGATGGTCCTACTGGGACATCAATTCGGATAGGCACATTCTCTGCTGGGATATGTGACTTAGTTATCCTTTTCAAATTAATAAATGCATCTGGCATTTGATTTGCTATATTGTGTAAATGGATGATCTTCTGGACCTCCTGATTACATATAGGGGTACGGGGATCAAAGTGAGATAATGATGAAACTTTCCACACAATTTCTCTTTTGATTTCCTTTTTCTCTCCCCCTAATTGTGGGAAATTTGTTTCATCAAACCGACAATCTGCAAATCGAGCAGTAAATAAATCTCCTGTCAATGGTTCAAGATAGCGAATAATAGAGGGTGATTCAAACCCAACATATATTCCTATCCTTCTCTGTGGTCCCATCTTACTGCGCTGTAGTGGTGCTACTGGCACATATACAGCACATCCGAAAATTCGTAGATGAGCAATATTTGGTTCATGATCAAAAACTAATTGTGACGGAGAATATTTATTATAATGTATCGGTCTGAGACGGATAAGTGATGCTGCATGCAAGATAGCATGGCCCCAAACAGTAGTGGGTAATGTTGTTTTCATAAGTAGTGGTCTCGCTATCAATTGCAGACGTTTAATAAATGACTCTGCAAGGCCATTTTGAGTATGGACATAAGCTACAGGATGTTCAACTTTTATCCCAACTGATAGACAATAATCATCAAAAGCTTGAGATGAGAATTCTCCAGCATTATCAAGGGGGATAACCTTTATAGGATAATTTGGGAATTGTGCCCTTAATCGAATTATTTGGGCTAATAGCTTTGCAAACGCCAGGTTGCGAGATGATAATAGGCATACATGAGACCATCTTGAAGATACATCTATTAGGACCATAAAATATCTAAACAACCCATTTGGTGGGTGAATAGGTCCACATATATCCCTATGTATACGCTCTAAGAAGGTAGGGGATTCAATGCCAACCTTCATTGGTGATGGTCTAGTGATCATTTTGCCTTGATAACAAGCATCACAAGAAAATTCGTCATTTGCAAGAATCTTCAGGTTTTTTAATGGATGCCCACTCGAATTTTGAATAATTCGTCTCATCATTATTGATCCAGGATGGCCCAAACGGCCATGCCAAAGCACAAAAGTATTTGAATCCGTAAACTTCTGGTTTACGATAGAGTGTGCTTCAACTGTACTAATTTTTGAATAGTATAATCAAGAAGATAAAGTTGGTAACTTTTCTACAATGCATTTCTAGCCAGAAATATTCTTTGTAATATAAAGATATTCCCTGTTCATTTCATCTATTGTCTCAACATGATACCCATTTCGGCGGATATCTACAAAACTCAACAAGTTTCTTCGGGACTTGGAGGAGAACAATGTATTGTCTATAATAAGTTTTGTTCCCTTAGAAATACAATGGCTCTTCCGGAGCCTTCAATCAATCTTATATTACCAGAAATTGTTGAAACATTTGCTTTTTCCTTATGCAAATAAGAAAGGTATTTATGATCCTTGAATATGGCATGAGTTGTTCCACTATCAATAACACAAATATCTTCATGATTTGTCTTTGATCCAAACATAATTTGAGGATTATCCATATTCTTCAAAATGTCATAAATAAAATATATTACAGTAAACATCATTATCAAAGCATAACTTTTATTTATGTACAACAATTACATAACCATACTATCTATTAGAAACAACAAAAATTAAAATATTTACATTTCTACAGATTCACTATCGATTACATAACTTGTTTCTCTTTCTGGGAGTGCAAAGTAATCAACTACATCCAAATGCATGAAGTCTAAATTATATTCAGAAATAAAATTTTCTTCAACATTTTTCTCTGTCTTTTTCAGGGAGGCTTGATAAAGCTCAACCAGGTGCTTTGGCGTACGACAGATATGTGATCAGTGTCATTTTCCTCCACATCTATAGCATGTATTTTTTGCATTTGGTGCTTGCACCGCTTCATGCTTTTGTTCCTTCCTTTTCCACTGCTGGTGGTGAGGAGGCTTCTTTGGTGCATTATTATTACCATGATTGGGGTTCTTTCCCCGACCATGGCCATGGCCATGACCACGACTGGGGTCACGACCTCTTCCACGTTTAGCTTGGTGGAAGTTCGTCTCATTCACTTCAGGGAATGGACAAGAACCAGTAGGTTAGGTCGGCTTTCATGGTTTTTCATTAATAGGCCATTATGTTGCTCGGCTATAAGAAGATGTGAGATAAGTTCAGAATACTTTTTAAATCCCATCTCTCGATATTGCTATTGCAAGAGCATATTCGAGGCATGAAAAGTGGTGAAAGTTTTCTCCAACATATCATGATCAGTAATATTATCACCACATAATTTCAATTGGGAAATAATTCTGAACATAACAGAATTATACTCACTGATAGATTTAAAATATTATAGCTTTAGATGAGTCCAATCATATCGTGCCTGTGGAAGAACGACCATCTTCAGGTGGTCATATCTATCTTTCAAATTATTCCACAGTATGACTGGATCTTTAACAGTAAGAAACTCCATTTTCAGGCCCTCATCAAGGTGATGGCATAGGAATATCATTGCTTTGGCACGGTCTTGGTTTGATGCCTGATCTTTGATGGTGTCTGCCAGACCCATCACATCAAGATGAATTTCAGCATCAAGCACCTAAGACATGTAGCTTTTGCCCGATATATCCAGGGCTACAAATTCAAGTTTAGAAAGATTTGACATTATTTAGGAAAAGAAAGTTCCTACCTCAATACTTTTAAAATATTTACTCGAGATGGCAGAGTCTCATGCTGATAACGTGTTATAAAATAAAGATTGTAAAGTAAAGACTAGTATAGAGAGAAACTGATATATTATTCGAATTCAAACTGATGTACATAATGAACTGAAATCTCTAAATAGAAGAAAGGAAGTTGCTGTGTAAGCTGCTACTGCAAGCTGCTGTGCAAGCTGCTACTACAAGCTGATGTGTAAGCTGCTATTATACCAGATATGAATAATCTTCTACTGAGAGCTATGTTTATCCATAACGGAGTACTGAATGAATAAACATATTTACGGCAGAGTCCCATATGAATAAGCTTCTTCAGGAAGCTTATTTACAACGGAATACTAAATGAACATCCATAATATAATATATTTATAACAACACACATTTTATTTCAAGCATATTCTATAATTGAGTAATAGAAGTTTCCATCTTCCCAAGATATTCACTACCAATAATTAAAGTATTGGGACCCAGTATCCAACTTCCGCTCTATAAATGCTTCCTACTTTGAGCAAACACAAGCACAAGCACACGCACAAGCACACATCCATATTTACAATGCTATCTGTCTCTCAATTCTTTTTCCTTTCTATTCTCACCCTCCAGTGTCTCACAGGCCTAGCAGCAAAATGCCACGTGGACGATGAAGCCGGGTTGTTAGGTTTCAAGTCAGGTATCAAATCCGACCCGTCAGGTCTTCTTTCAAGTTGGAAAACGGGTACTGATTGTTGTACTTGGTCGGGTGTATCTTGTGGGGAAGACAATCGGGTCACAGGACTACAGATCTATGGACAACCCGAGAAAAAACAAATCTTGTCGGGTACCATCTCGTCTTCTCTTTCCAAACTAAAAAGATTAACAAGTATAAATCTTGTAAATCTTATAAACTTATCGGGTACACCGAACTTTCTCGTTTCTCTACCTGAAATTCAAATTGTTTACATTGAAAACAACAAGTTATCGGGTCGTGTACCCGCAACCATTGGGAACTTGACCCAACTTTTTGCACTGAGTTTCTCGGGTAACAGTTTAACCGGCCCGATACCAAGTTCAATCGGCCAGTTAACTCAACTGAGCCAGCTCAAACTCGGTAACAATTTGCTCACTGGCACTATACCCAAGACATTTAGCAAGCTCAAGAGCTTAACTTTTTTGAGTTTAGAGAAGAATCAGCTCACTGGGTCAATACCAAACTTCTTTACTTCCTTGTCTAAGCTAATAATTTTGGAACTTTCTAACAACAAATTTACTGGGAAAATTCCAAGTTCTATTGCAACTTTAGCTCCACAATTAAGGTACCTTGAGCTAGGACACAATTATTTAACTGGTCAAATCCCAGATTTTCTTGGAAAATTCCGTACTCTAGACACATTAGATCTTTCTTCGAACAAGTTCTCAGGAACTGTACCGAAATCCTTTGCAAATCTAACCAAAATATTCAATCTTGATCTCTCTCACAATCACCTTGTCGACCCATTTCCACAATTGTTTGTAAAAGGTATCGAGTCTTTGGATTTATCGTACAATAATTTCCACTTAGGTACAATACCAAGTTGGATCACTAGTTCTCCAATTATTTACTCAGTGAAGCTAGCTAAATGTGGGATCAAGATTAAATTGGATGATTGGAAGCCGAAGACTACTTATTTTTACGATTATATTGATCTTTCGAATAATGAGATTAGTGGAAGTCCAGTTGGGTTGTTGAACAAGACTGATTTCTTGATTGGATTTTATGCTTCTGGGAACAAATTGAAGTTCAATTTGGAGAAGTTAAGGATTGTTCAGACATTGAAAGATTTGGATTTGTCTCGGAATATGGTTTATGGGAAAGTTCCAAAGGCAATTTCTGGACTACAGAAGTTGAATTTGAGTAGTAACCATTTGTGTGGTCAGCTTCCACCATCAAAGTTTGGGGCTAATTCTTTCCCTGGAAATGCTTGTCTTTGTGGTTCACCATTGCCACCCTGCAAATCTTAATTTAAAATCAGCGTGTTTTACAACCAGGCTGTGGCACTTTTGTTCAATAAATTGTTGCCACGTAATATTGAGTGAGGATATTGATTGCTCACAATAATGAAAAATTAAAAAAATAAGATTTGGATTTGTCTCGGAATATGGTTTATGGGAAAGTTCCAAAGGCAATTTCTGGACTACAGAAGTTGAATTTGAGTAGTAACCATTTGTGTGGTCAGCTTCCACCATCAAAGTTTGGGGCTAATTCTTTCCCTGGAAATGCTTGTCTTTGTGGTTCACCATTGCCACCCTGCAAATCTTAATTTAAAATCAGCGTGTTTTACAACCAGGCTGTGGCACTTTTGTTCAATAAATTGTTGCCACGTAATATTGAGTGAGGATATTGATTGCTCACAATAATGAAAAATTAAAAAAATAAATACTCCCACTCTCTCTTTCCATTCACCAAACCATCCTTTATTTATTTTGGAGTAGTGACAAATAACACTTTTAGTCCCTACATTAATGTTATATTTTGATTTAGTCCTCATGTCAACCAACCTATCACTATTGACCTTCAATTATATTACGTGAATGATCTAGATCTCAAAAAAGTTAACAGATAACGACATCCAAAAAAGTTAATAGATACGGACAATTCTAGTATTAATTTTTTTGTTTTGCTTGTTGACCAGTAACTTGCACCAATTTACTTCTTAAATATGAATTTTGTTTTTCCGAATTTGAATCCTTTGAATCAATATTTTCTATCTTTGTATACCTTTTCTTCAACGAGCTCTCTTGAGAATAGAGATAGCGCTATTAGTTGAAGGTGAATGTAGAGAGGGGGAGTATTTTTTTTAAAATTTTCATTAATTGCGGGTCCCACAGGTGCCATTTGACAAACAATCAATGACCTCACTCAAGTATTACATGACATATCTCACTCAAAATAAAATTTCTCCATTTTAGAGTAGTTTACTTTTTGACTGCCCTTTATTTATTTTGGAGTAGTGACAAATTACCCTTTTCAGATATTTACTTACTTCTATCATTGAGCAAATAACACTTTTAGTCCCTACATTAATGTTATATTCTGATTTAGTCCTCATGTCAACCAACCTATCACTATTGATCTAGATCTCAAAAAAGTTAACAGATAACGACATCCAAAAATGTTAACAGATACGGACAATTCTAGTATTAATTTTTTTTTTTTGCTTGTTGACCAGTAACTTGCACCAGTTTACTTCTTAAATATGAATTTTGTTTTTCCGAATTTGAATCCTTGAATCAATATTTTCTATCTTTGTATACCTTTTCTTCAACGAGCTCTCTTGAGAATAGAGATAATGCTATTACTTGAAGGATTGGGCCACCTTTGTATTTATTTGTACAGAGCTAAGCCCAATTGTTGGTTTCTTAATAAGTTGTCGGGCAGTGACCCAAGTAGTTGAGTGGATTACCAATTTTACCCGTGTATATATATAGCTTTTAGCATACAGATGTAAAGAATGATGGATATTTTTCTGAAAGACAATGAACAGATGCTTCTCGATTCCTCTTCACTTTCTCTTAAACCCTAGTTATTTTTCTTCAAATCTTTCGATCTACAGATGTTTACATGGTATCAGAGCAGTCTATCCTGATGAATTTCGTCATTCTCTATCGATCGATATTACCCTCGAGCTATTTTGGTGGAGTTTTTCATGTGCATCGATTTCTCGGTTTTGCCGTCATTCGAGCTTTTTTGCCAGTGAAGCTTGTTTTTCTTTGGATTTTTCGCTAATCTTCTTAGTATTCCAGCAAGGAACGATTACTTTTTTTGGATTTTTCATCATTTACTGGTTCGAGAGTTTCCGTGTTTTTGATCTTCTTCGGAGCTAGAGCTTCTGTCAAAAGGACGTATCTTCTGGTTGTGAAGAATTTGGGTAACATCAATTTTCTTGCCTGCTTGTCTTCATCTTCATTGCATATTTTGAACTGAGGTAGTGTTATACAATCTCTATTTTGGTTATTTGAATTGTATTGGTATTAATTCACAAAAATGGGTGGTACTACTAGTAATGAGTCTGAATTTACTCCTCGTGCTTCAAGTCCTCTGTTCCTTCATCCTAGTGATGTCCCTGGTACATCACTGGTTGGTGTTCCTTTCTCCGTACTGGATTTGGAGGTTGGAAAAGGAGCATTATCGTGTCTCTTTCAGCTAGAAATAAGATAGATTTTATCTATGGAACTCTCCCTAGGCCTCCTATTAATTCACCCGAGTGCAAACAGTGGGATAGGGTGAACAACATGGTAATTTCTTGGTTGACAAGCTCACTGTCCCTTGAAATTGCAGAAACTGTTCCAATATTCGGAGACTGCTGAGAGTATTTGGAGGCAATTAAATACTAGGTATGGAACAGTTAATGGAACTAAGAAATTCGAAATTAAGAGGGAGTTGGCTTTTACATGTCAAGGGGCTCTTGATATTACATCTTATTTTAACAAGTTAAAGAAGCTTTGAGATGAGCTGATAGTCATGTCTTCCAATCATGCAAAAAAATTGTAATTATGCTGCTAAGCCTGGTCTGGAGCAGGAAGAAGAAGAGAATAAGGTGCATCAATTTCTAATAGGGTTAAACGAGACATATGTTAATGTTAGAAGCAACATTCTACTCATAAACCCACTGCCTTCACTTGACAATGTTTATAACATTCTCTTACAAGATGAAAAACAAAGACAAGTCATTCATACCACTCATTTTAGTTTTGATATGACTTCTTTCCATGCGAGTGCCAACAATAAACCTCCTTCTCAACCAAGTCTTAATAAACAATACAATCAGAGAATTAATTTTGACCACTCCAATCAAAGGATGAATCTTGGGCAGCATAAAGGATTTTTATTCTGCAAGTACTGCAAGAAGAATAAACATACCATTGAGACATGTCACAGGCTGCATGGTTTTCCACAAAACTTTAAATTTACAAAAGGCAGGAAGTATGGTACTGCTGCCAACATTGAATCTTCTACTTCTGGAGTTCCTGATGCCCCTACTACTTTTGGATCTGTTGGTCAAGAATCTATGATGCCTGGATTGACAAAAGAACAGTATAGTCAATTGTTAATGCTTCTACAAAGTTCAACTTTGGACTCTGACTCTCAGACAAATCTTATGGGATCTGCAAATCTTATGGGATCTGCAAACTTTGCTGGTAACATTTCTACTCAACCTTTGCCTGATTGTGATATCTTTGCTACTTGCATGTTGTCTAGTGCTGTTAGGAGTGTTTGGATAGTAGATTCAGGAGCAACTGACCATATGCCATCTAGTAAAGATTTTCTTTTTGACATTAAATCACTTCCTGTACCCTATTTAGTTTCTTTGCCAAATGGTTACAAAGTGAAAGTAACATGCACTGGTTCACTTACTTTGTCTCCTTCCTTTGTTTTGCATCATGTGCTCTATATTCCATCATTTCAATATAATCTCATATCTATTTATAGGTTGATTCAACAGTTTCACAGTTTTGTCCTTTTCATATCTTTTTCCTGTTATATACAGGACCCTTCCAAGAAGAAGCTTCTGGAACTTGGTAGAGTGTACCATGGTCTTTACAAGCTTCTTCCACTTACCACTTCTATCTCTTCCACTTCTAGTCATTTTACTATTCTCCCTAAACTGAATTGTATCTCTATTTCAGATTTAGCTGCTAATGTACTCTCCATGAATTCATCCCCTGCCTCTTTCCTAAATGGTACTACATCAGTTGTAAATAATTCACCTTTGAATAATAATGTCTCTGTTGTGTATGACAGTACTACTTCTACTCTTTCTTGAGTAAAATCTGATGTTTCTTGCATGAATTCTGTGAATGCTGTAACCAGTTCTGATATTCTTTGGCATCATAGATTGGGTCACATCCCATCTGCTAAAATGAAGGCCATTCATACTATTTCTCCTATTATTTCCTTTAGGCAATCTTTCATTTGCCCAATTTGTCCTCTAGCTAGACAATCTAGATTGCCTTTTTCAAATAGTACCTTTAGTTCCACTTCCTTGTTTCAACTAAATCATATTAATATTTGGGGACCATATCATACACAAACATATACTGGTGCAAAATACTTTTTAACAATTATAGATGATTATAGTAGAGCCACTTGGACTCATTTAATGCATGCCAAAAGTAATGCTTTTCCTCTTCTCAAGGCATTCATCGCAATGGTCCAGACACAATTCAACCTCCCTGTTAAAACTATTAGAAGTGATAATGCCCTAGAGCTTGGCTCTTCTCATTCCATGTCTCAAATTTTTTCTGATAATGGGATCTTACACCAAACAAGTTTCCCTACACACCGCAACAAAATGGTGTGGTTGAGCGAAAACACAAATATGTTTTAAAAACTTCAAGGGCTCTTTTATTTCAGTCAAAACTTCCTATAAAATTCTAGGGGGATCGCGTATTAACTGCCACTTATCTTATAAATAGATTTTCCTCAACTGTAATATCAAACGAAACTCCCTTTGAACTTTTATATGGTGCTGTACCATCCTATAACCATTTGAAACCTTTTGGCTTCCTTTGCTATGCTTCAGTTCCCAAGTGCCAAAGGGACAAATTTCAGCCAAGGTCTGTCCCTTGTGTGTTCATTGGTTACCCTTTTGGGAAGAAGGGCTATAAGCTTTACAATTTGCAAAATAAGTATGTACTTATTTCTAGAGATGTCCATTTTCATGAAGTTATTTTTCCATTTCATCTCTCAGGCTCTCCTTATTCTATACCTTCTCATTTGCCTTCTTCTCCATCTCCTATCATTTCCGACCCTTCTGGTTCTTCAGTTGTTGATGTTTCTCTTCCTCCTTCTCTTCCTCCTTCTCTTCCTCCTTCCTTCTCCCCTTCCTTCTCCCCTTCTTAACCTATTTCTACTTCTTCACCCATTTCCACCCCTGCTTCTCCTCCTTCCAGTTTTTCTTTTTCTTCCCAATCTGATTCATCTCCATCTCACTCCCCTCCTTCACCTATTTCTTCCAGTCTTGCTGCTCCTAGGAAATCAACCAGAACTCACAATCTTCCTTCTTACCTTCAGGATTATGTAGTATCCCTTCCTTCCTCTTTCTGCTCCTCTACTACCACCACTACTGCTGCACCAACTAGTGCAGTTGAGCCTCATTCTTACCATCAGGCTGCTATAAGTCCTGCTTGGCAAGAGGCCATGAAAAAAGAGTTTGAGGCTTTGAAGGCTGATCACACATGGAACATTGTTGACTTACCTCAAAGTAAGAAACCAATTGGGTGCAAATGAGTTTACAAAATTAATTATAAGGCTGATGGTTCTATTAAGAGGTATAAAGCAAGGCTAGTAGCTAGAGGTGACACTAAAGTAGAGGGTGTAGACTTTGCTAAAATATTTTCACCAGTTGTAAAGATGTGTACTGTTAGATGCCTCGTTGCATTTGCTGTCAAACATA